TAAACAGAGCTAATACTGGCTTCTTATTTACCTTAATTGGAGTCTGCTATAACACATGGCAACCAGGTTCAGCAGACCTTTCTCAGTGCGTTTATGTGGAACTGCCATCTATTGTAACATGGTGTACAACTTGGCACACTGAAAATTGCAGAGAGCTGTATCATGAGCTCTGGAACAATTTGCCTACATCTCTGTAAACACAGATTTGGGACCCAACCACATACAAAGATACTAGATGCAGGGGCGTCCCTACAATTTTCAGTGCTCAGCTCCTGACAACTAGCAATGTTGGTGAGTAGAGTAGGATGCCAGCCAGAGCGTTACAGGTTGCAACCTGAGATGCTTTGGCTGGAAAGGGGACAGCAAACACACACATACACACACACACACACACACCAATGTATTGCCACCTGAGACTGACTCATTATAGGCATGGCCCTGACCGGATAAATTCAAGTTTTAATGGGCATGGCAACCAGTTGTACAATATGAATGTCACCAATCTGATAGGGTGTGTCAATTTAAATGTAAAATGGTTGTTTGCTCAGAGCATACATTTAAAGACCCTGTCACCTTGCTCACCTACAGTGTCAATATATAGCCCACCCTCTGATCCACTAATCCTCAGTTCTTCAGTGTTTCCCTGACACTCTCTTTCTTCTGTACTCTGCTGTGAAATACCGCGAGGGATAATAGGCAGTATGTGACCTCCACCCATAAGTGGGGATGTCACCATTTATTATAAAGTATAGTATGCCAATCTGGTATAATCCTTTAAATCTAATAACAGGGATGTTTTAGGTACATACCCTGAGCAAATATATACTGAGGGGTAATGGGCATTTAACAATTGGAAACTTTAATATACAGTACATGCATATATGGTCACACATTTGATACTAAGCAAGCAGATGTAGATGGACAATCTGCATTGTGGTTTTTATATTTTGCCCTTGCTACATGAAGAAGTAACAACTGGAAGCCCAGGAACAAGTTAAGCTTCCAAGTTTGTTACATGTGGCAACATTTTGAATTCTGATAATATCTAATGATAAGAAAAGGAAGCGATAATCTTATGATCAAGAAACTAAGTGGATTTGGAATGTTTCAACAATTGAGACAACAACAAATGGAACAACAATTGTAATCATTGGTAGCGCTATTATGTTTATGCAATGGCACATGAGGGTAGAACTAAGGGCAGAACTTTTCTTTTTTTAAAAAAAGATTTGGATAGAGAAAAGGATTATAATCCACGTCAACTTTTTTATTCCATCTGTTTTTCAATGCAGCCGTTCCCCATCCTGTCTGATAGACACAGGGGGAAGTGAGAAGAAATCCCTCCAAAGTGAGGGACATCCCTGGTGGTCAGCAGGGTCACCAAAACGAGTTTCCTCATTGGAAGGTTTCACATCTATTCCTGTTTTGAGGAGCAGAGTTGATGGCAAATGTTTTATGACTCCTTTGCTGAGCAGTCACAGGTTGTGGGCAGGAAAGTTTTACTAGCTATCTTCTGTGAACTACAGAACACTTCCTCCCCATGTTATGGAGAGCAAGAGAAGGTGTCTGTAGTCCAAATCAGAAGATCAAACTTAGAGTGGCCACGCTGCTCTTCCATAGATATATTTAAGTTAGCCATGCCACCCTAAGATAGGTAGTTTTCAGATGTATATTTAGCTGTTTATTTTGAGTTCAGCTTAAAGTTTTACAACTGAGTGAAATGCAAGACTCTCTTCCTATTATAAAACTAGAGAAATAAAGGTTACCATGTTGTATGTCAGATTATAGCAGAGTTGGACAAATAATGTATTTAAGGACTAAAAACAGAGAAAACTCATAATTATGCATACTGCCATAATATCACATGGGAGAATATGTCTTTCTTGGCTTACAATCGTGTGGACATTCATGCCTTGACAATGAGTTCTACCATTTTTCCTAAGACTGTTTGTACTACCTCATTACAGGCTTTGCAAGATCTCGTGAGTATTGTGATTCTGATTATCCAGGGCAAGAGCAGACACTTCGTTTTTACTGGAGTTTTAACCACTTAATGACCGGGGTGTGTTAAACCCCGTTCCTGTCCAGGCCATTTTTCATTATTCAGCGCTGCGGTACTTTGACTGACATTTATTCCATCATGCAACACTGTACTGAAATTAATTTTATACAATTTTTTTGGAGCTAGAGCTTTCTTTTGATGGCATTTTTCTTACAAGAAGTTTATTATTACCCAAATGTTTTGGTAAAATATAAAAGATGGGGTCACTTCGGGTAAATAGACACCAAACATGTCAAGCCATCAAAGCTACCATACCCAAAATTGGTCATAGGCGACGTTTTAAAAGTATTTACCGCTCATCAGTATAGTGTTACCAGTGACTAATGGTCCTATAAATTATTGCTCTCACTCCAATGTTCTAGGTCATATGGAACATGTGCGGCAGAATTGTAATCTTCTCACGTACGTGCACCTGACGCATGTTTGCGTGTGTATGTGCGGGCGGGGGACTTTAACTTTTTTTTATGCTACTTTAATTTTTTTTTTTAACACTTAACTTTCTTACTTGCTAAGAACCCCCCTATGTGATAGCCAATTTACAGTGACAGGCCCTCTTTATGGAGACCTCAGGTGTCTCTAGGACCCCTAATGTCACCTAGGGACCCCAAACAAGCTGATGAAGCAAAGATCTACTTCACCGGCTTCTGTAGCCGGGAATGACGGCTGCATGTGGAGTTGGATGTTTTTCGCTCCATAAGACGCACTTTTTTTCCCCCCAAAAGGAGGGGGGAAATGTGCCTGCGTCTTATGGAGCGAATCCCGACGCCCGAGACATGCAGTTTCGGGCGCCGGGCGAGTAGTAGGAGCCACTGCTCGTTTAATACGAGTGATCTAATGAGATCACTCGTATTAAAGCCGAGCAGCGGCGATCGAGTTCAGCAGTAGGAGCTACTGCTCGTTTAATACGAGTGATCTAATGAGATCACTCGTATTAAAACCGAGCAGCGGCGACTATCGAGATCACCATAGAGCAGACGAAGAACGGATGTTCTTCGTCTGCTCTGTGTGATCACTGAGACCGTAATAAAACAGCCATCCCTGGATGTTTGAAATTAGAGCAGTTTTCCTGCTGATGCGTGCAGGGAAGGACGTTTTAAAACACCCACCCACATCTAGAAGGCTCCCATCCGGCCATTTATGTACAGCCACTGGACTGGAAGCAGCTAAAGAAGAACTTACCTTTGCAGCTACCCACTGCAAGTGTTAAGTGCTCCTTTTGGTCTAGGGGCTGGAAGAAAGCAGAATTGCTTGATCCCAGCAATTCTGCTCTGGACTGATAGACCAGTCTATGCAGCCTCTTCTCCCCAGGGTTTCAGTGGTCTAAAGACCACTGGGGTCATCACGTCTTATGCAAGTACATTGACCTGCATTAGACGTGAGGACACCGAGGCACATTCCAAAGCAGAGGGAGAGAAAGGTGAGCACTGACCGGTGTGGGACCGAAGATCACTTAAGTAAAACCGCTTTATTTGGGTCCCCCTAGACGAAACGTAACCCTTGTAGTGTGTGTGTGTGTGTGTGGGGGGGGGGGGGGGGGGGGA